GGGGGGGGGGGGGGTACTCGTAGCCTTGCATGCCGCAGTCGTTAGACGGGTGACCTCGCATCCCTACAAAGCTGGGACGGAGCGATATGCCCGTACCTTGTCGCCGGACCAGGCTCTTGTGGGGGGGCGGGATTAGTTGACTCTCTTCCATTCTGACGATAACGCCCTCCACCACCAAGCGTTACCGCTTCGAGTACTGGCCTGCCCCGGGTCTGCAGAGCACGCGAAGTAGCAAGCCCTTTCGACGAGCGTCTCGCCCCCACCAACCGTGGCGAAAGCTCCGGCTTTTGAGTGGAAAATAAAGTAAATTGGCCATGATCGTGACGAATAGTGTTTTCCCCCGTTGACTGTGTTCCCTCCTACTGTTGTCTGCAGACGGTCGCCTCGTACAACGCGAAGGGGACCTTAGCGCAGTATGCCTGTTCTCGCTCCTGCCAGAGGGCCGTCGACGCCGCCGACACCGCTCTCCGGGGGGCACTGACCAAGCTCAGCGTAAGCCCCAACGCAGCCTCGCCCGTTAACCACAGGAGTGGAGAGTTGCTTGCCTTGCCTCCTGCTTGAGTACCCCCGGCAGAACCGTGCCCTTTCTTTTCAGCGTACACGCGCACAAAGCATTTTTATGAGTCTTAAGCGCGCGTGTACGCTGCATCCAAGGGAAATGGGTGTATGTTGTTCGTAAGAGGCTCGACGTTTGCTAAACGGTGTTCAAGGGGGCTCTCCTTGGGTTTGCTCGCGGTGGGTTCTCGCCGCAGGTCGGGCAAGGCGCCGAGCTTATCACCATGGTGGGGCGCCTGCAGGGCGTTGGACTTGTGGTGGACGAGAAGCTGGACATGATCATCGAGCAGCTCCGGAAGCAGGAAGAAAACGCGGCGAAGATGGAGCTCAGTCTCGCCAAGTACTCCGCATCCATGGCAGAGGTAATAACGAGGGGGCACCCGATAGTCCGTGCAGATTTTTCTCAGTAAGCAAACATACTGGATATTGGAAAGAATCGACTAAATATGTTGGGGATAGGGTTAGGGGTTAGGGTCTGCGTGCCCCCTTCCTGGTCTTATTCGTGCTAAACGTGCTTTTCGTTCTTTGCGTAGGCAGTCCGGGCCACCGCTTCTTGGTGTGGTTTCCCAGCTAAACTGATAAACGTGCCGATCTACGTATTAGGCATACACAAGGCCCACACACGGACAGTCAACACCCAAATCGTTCAGGTTCAAGTCTTGTCCACGCGTCTGCCAAAAAAGCTCACGCCGTAGAACCTCCCTGCCGAATTGGTCTCCGAGAGTTGTTGGGTCCAAGCTTTTTTTTGTGACACCCGAGAGTCTGAGACGCGCGCGCACTCTGTTTCCCCTGCTCTTGGCCCCGTTTTGCGGGCGAAAGGTTCTCGGACGGGTCTCTAGCGTCGGCAGCCCTAGCGGTGACGGGAAGGAACGACCACGCTCCAACGGCAAGGTGAGAGTGCCGCGGGAGGAGGCACGTCGTGTGTATTGCCGTGCTTTCGAAAAATGTCTCGGTTGGCCCAGCGCCTACTCCCGTGGACTCTCGTGTATACGGCGGCTTAGGCCTCTCGATTGGGGAACAGTATCCAGGGCGCCAACAACGCGGATTTGCTCTGCATCGCCACCCACGTCCCGCGTTTGTTGTGAACCGTTGTCCCCTTTGGTAGCACTGCTGTTCGTAGTGCTCCCATCAGCACCTTGGTTTGAGATCACGTGCGTCTTGTCTGCCGTTGTTTTGATGCCTTGCGATGTAGACGTTGCGTGAGCTGGGCAAGGAGCAGCTGGACAAGCTGCAAATATCCAAGGAAGACGTGACTTACGCCAGCAAGAGGCCCTTTGCCTCGGGGAGCTACTCCGAGGTACACTACGCTAAGCTGCGGTTGTGGTTCGGTCCTGTCTCCTATCTATCGCACTCCGTCGAGATCGTCTCCGGCAGACGGAGGGACGTAAGAATCATTTTGGATGACGTCAAGTTGATGTAGTTCGTGCTTGTGTGCTTTAAGAATCCCCCCGCGCACGCCCGTGTTTCCCTGCTGTTGACATTGAGGGCACAAAGAGTGCAGTCTTCGCGTTGGTTACTCGAAGGACGGTAAATAGTGGCATGGTAGGTACCGTGAAAGACGTCAAGGATGGTGTGTCAGCATCGTTCAGATTGTTTGCTGTAGCTGTGGCGAGATATCGCACCTGCGTCACCCGCTCCTCGACATCTTACTCGAAACACCATTTGGTCCATCTGGTAGACTTACGAACATCTGTCCATGTGCGAAATGCCGGTTGAAGGTGTACCAAGTCATCCACGAGGGCGTCGTCAAGGCTGCGAAAAAGACGAACCTGGCACGGTTAGGGGTGGGGAAGAAGGACATTGACCGCGTATTCGAGAGATTTGTCAAGGAACTCTACATCCTAAGCCAGATGCACAGCGACAGGTATGTGTTGGTATGCGTTGTTTTTATCTTTATACATCGACCGCGCTGACTGACTGACCAATTAAAAAGAGGCGGCCTTGTGGCGGGATAAGTAGCGCGAACACGATTTCTAATCAAAGGGCTCACGGACAGGGGGGGGGGGGCAGTGCGTGCTGTCTGCCTCTCTACATTTCTAGGAATGTTGAGAGGGTACCGAAAGTAAGGTCAGCCATCTCCAGAGCCGCCGTTCTTGTAGCCATGCGACTGACCCTCTCACAAGTGTAGCGCCTATTGTGGAACAGACTCTGTCTTCCTTTTCACATGCGAAGAGGTACTGTATTGTATGCACAGATCGATATATGGTGCGATTTGCTCCAGTGGCAGGCAGGGGACGTGACGCACGAATCAGAACGCCACGTAAAAGTAGGCGGCGTCCTCTACCCGGCGAGTGCAAGCGAACAGCATCGAACCATCCGTTGGCAGCACACGGCACTGTAGTTTCATCTCCCCCCCCTTTTTCGACGTTCAGTTCTTCTTTTCTCGGCCAACAACAACGTCGGCTGTCGTTAAACCTCATCAGGGTGGTGTCGATGTACGGCGCTATCGCGTCTCCTACGGAGCTGACGCTTGTGATGGAGTTTCTGGAGAGAGGCAGCATTCGAACGGTAAGTGCGTAGCGCGTGTTCCCTCTGTAGCAACTGTTGCATGGTTGGTGTTTGTCGCAACAAGCTTCCTGCCATTGTGCCGCAAAGGCAGCGGTTGAAACTCAAGGTGTGTGATAAAAGTGCGGCCGGTGTACTGTCGCTTGAAAGGGCTGCTGTGACAACCTCACCACACGAAAACAGCCGACAAAATCAATCAACAGGAACCCCCCCCCCCCCTCCCCCTTGTCACTTTGATTTTTCGTTCGCGCGCATGCTGTGGGGCGCCGGGCCACATATATGCAGATCTTAGACGACGACAGGCAGCGGCAGAGCATGACGCCGGTGGCGCGGCACGGCCTGCTGCTAGACACGGCTGAGGGCATGGCGTACCTGTACAAGAACGGCGTCCAACACCGAGACCTCAAGAGCGCCAACTGCCTCGTCACCCACGACTGGCGGGTGAAGGTAGGGTGTTTGGCGTTTCTGCATGGACCGAAATCCGTGGCTTTTTGACTCTTTGCGCCCTGGCACGGAGAAAGCTTCTAGATAGTACGTTTTCCGCATCATGCCAACCCCCTTTACTGCAAAGTTTCATGGGGGCCGTGTCCAATACTTGATCCGAGAAAGTTGAAGGGATTCTATCGCTTCCAAGACAGAAAACAGACAGGTATCCCACCGCGGCCGGCCGGTAGGGGAGTGTTGTCTTGAGGGCTCAAGTCACACTTTTTTATGTTGATTGAAGCATACGAGAAGGATGACAATCCTCAGCACACTCTCCGCGAATCCCTCTTGTCCGATTCCGCGATCGTTCATGAAGATCTCTGACTTCGGACTATCGAAGACCATCGACGCCATCTCGACGGGCTCTACCAGCACCATGTCTGGCAACTTCAGGGGGGGGACGATGACATACATGGTGGGCGTGTGTGAGCTCGCTCTGGAGTGGGGGGGCTCCGCTGACTGAGCTTTTGTTCGAAACCAAAGCCAAACGCGAAACCAAAACGTGCATTGCGGTGCTCCATCAACCAATCTGATGGGGTTTGGAAGGAGGCCGAGGTGTGGCTCCGTAGTGCCTTCGTAGTGTCAACTTGTCCTGCTTGGAAGCTAGTATCTCAAGCTTCCAAGGCATGGTTTTAAAGCATGTATGGTCATTTGGTCGGAACAAGATACTGTGGTTTTTGCGATATTTCGAAGTCGGCTCTCTTCATCGCTGTAGAATCGTAGTCGAGAGCTGGTGTTGTCGTTCAGTTTATCACGAATCAGCACCGTCGAAGACTTAAGGGTACCCGGACAACCTCCTGCTATGTTGCCTAATTTCGAAAACAAACGCAAGAGCGCCAGAACATGCACTAGAGACACATAAGACCAGTCGGAAGGCATCGCAAAAAAAACAAGTCCAAAATTCTGGCACAGGGCAGCAGTAGAGACTGCTCAAAACGTGCTTTTCGCGCGTCTACCTCCACACGCATCCTTTGAAACCAAGATAAAAATCCACACCAGTCTAAATTCAAGTCAAAAGAGCCCAAACGGAAGGCGCTCAAATAAGGCCGGTGTTGCTAGGAACCTGGTCCATTGTACCAATATCACTAGAGGACACCCTATAGCAGCGGGGGGGTGTGTTGGCGCGCTCAAAACTTCTTCTGTGGTGGTGGTATCGAGTGTCGTTGTAGTGGCCCACAATCTCCGCAAATCTCCGCAAGTTAGATCGACACCCAGTGTCTTGTACTGCTTGTGCTCGCCGCCACTGAACCCAATCTTCTGAACTGCAGGTTTACAGCAGTAGCTGATGCCACCAGCTACTGCTGACAACCCGCAGTTGAGGGGTTTGCGGTCCGTGGTGGTGAGCACCGCTGTGACAAGTGTTGGGTTCCGCTTGGTTCCGGCGCAGATTTCGGACCGTTTTCAGAGGCTGCTGCGACCTTCGATATTTCAGCCCCAGTAGTATACCTGAACGTGCCAGCACGCACGACGCCTCTTGATGATATCCTCTACTGATACTAGCACAACGGACCAGGTTCCTCCGGCGGGAAGGTTGTTTTCTTTCTTTGTACTGTTATAAGTATGAGAAAAGAGCCAGCGTCAAAATCCCTTGTCTGGGTACCCTTAAGGTGCCGTTGATGAACGTTTTCAGCGCGTCTGTGTGGGCAAGTGCTACGAGCGAGCTTCGTCTTCCGAAGCACCTCCGAACACATTATTCTCCTTGCCCTTGCCAAGCAATGAGTAACTTCATCTTGCGACGATTGATCTCCCTGGGTACCCTTCCCGAACCTTCGGTGGTGATCTTGATCGTCCGTACCTCCTTTTTTTCTCGACGATAGGCACCGGAGCTGCTGCCTGGAGGAGCGGGCGGAGACGTCCCAGCGGAGCTAAGCGATGCCTACAGGTACCGTGAACGATGGTAGACACATTGTCAGTCACCGGGAGATCTAAAAACGCCCGATCCAACGATTCGCGCCGCACTTCACCTCCTTCTTCGTTAGTGGTGTCCAGCCTTGCCTACTGAGACGGCCCGATGTCCTCCCTGTTCTTGGTCGGAGAAAGTGAGAAGATCGTGGATTGGGTTTCAAAGAGAGACGGGGGAGAGGGCTGCCCTCGTTCACCACTGCTAGCTATCCACAGTTCTAGTGGAAGGGGATGTGTTGCAGTATTAACAAGTGAGTGTCAGAAGAAAACACCTGTTGCAGCTGTTCAGTGCACGCTTCATTCAGCCCCAAACCGTCTGTTGAAGCAAGCCGCCGGTTTCGCCCTTCTTTCGACATGGACCCCAATGTGCTCCACTCTTCTCGCGGTACAGCAATAATGTCCTCGTAACGTTCCTCGATTGTCCACTTGCGTGCCCACCCCCCGGTCGCACCAGCTTCGGGGTAGTCGTGTGGGACGTCGTCTGTGGTGAAGGACGAACACCGTGGGCAGGCGTGCGAATTTATGACCTGCCCTCGCTGCTAAGGAAGGGGGAGCGTCTGGACATCCCGGTAGAATGCGGGCGCTTCTACAGGTGGGGTGCAGCATCATAATCACGTCTTGAAAATAGTGGTCGTCAAGGAGAATGCTTCGGGGTTGATGACCGCTTTTCGCGCTTTGGCAGGGTCGCAGATGTCATCTGTCGGCTCGAGGTAACAGCTGCTGCGTGTGAAGACGACGGGTAAAACACAGTAGTGCGCCACCATGGTCTAATATATTCGTTATCCCTTGTGTCGGCGCTTCTGCAACGACCGCACGCGACACGACCACACCGCCGCCGCCCTCCACGCACTCCCTGGTCCCACCCTGCATCCGTATGTCTCCTTGCACGAAGTCGAACACGCAAACCCTCGGTGCATCAAATGGCCTTATCCTCTCCCTTTTCAACCCTCAAACACCAGGAGGTTGATGGTGAGCTGTTGGAACAAAGACCCCCACCGCCGCCCCACCTTCGACAGCATCCTTAAGGACACGAGGAAGGAAGCAGACCGGCCGTTCTCCGCCGCACTCGCATCGTCCCTGCCTACGGATGCCCCCGCCCACGCCGCCGCAACTGGCATAATGCCGGCGTGGGGCCAACAACGCCACCCCCGAGCCGGCGTTATCGCATCGGTGCAGCGGGCTCGAAGCCAGCCTGTGACGTCACTGCCAGCTCCCGACATTGCGTCAGGAGGCCGTGGTAGCACCGTACCCAAGACGTCGGGGCAAGCAGCGACGGAGAGCGGCGTTGGGTCTGTCTCCGTGGGATCTGCCGTTCCAGGCTCTCGGGTTCGGGAGAGTTCACACGGGCGGGGAGGGGGGAAGGCACGGACAGGAGCATCCCAGGCGTCGGGGCGAAGAGCAAGCAGGGGGGCGCGCGTCGTAGCTCTGCCACAGCCAAGACGCGTGCAGTTTGTTCATGGATTTAGGCTGGCAGGGGAGAACGGGGAAGCTTGAGTGAGTGGTGCGGGCCTTTCTATCAGTGTTGCGGCGGACGGGGAAAGGGAAAAGCGCTCAACGTGATATCGGGAGCACGCACAGGTTGATTGGGCGTTGCTGCATGTTTGGTTGCCATCATCTGCCGTGAGGTTCGCAAAGTTTTGTGTGTTTGTTGTTCGGTTTCGACGAATGCGGTGCTGGTGCACATTGTGTACCAGTGATTGCGGCGAAGCTGTCGGTGTATGGCTGTTTGCTTGCGCGTCGTCCGCTCACTCGTGGACTTATACATTGGTTCCTGTTTCCTGTTGTCGTTGTCTGACTGCGCGAACAGACAAGGTTAGAGCTTGTGTTGGTTTGCGGTCTGAATCGCGGCTGAGGCAAGAAAGATAGAGAATAGCATGCATCGTGTACGAAGTATATGTTTTCAGTTTGGAATGGGATTGGATATGATTGTTGTAATGGTACGATGTATGTGCGTGTGCTTCAGTTTGGTACGAGCATGAGACTCTGCTGTAATGTGGCAAAGAAAGCTGAGATGGATTCAGATTAGTTTTTGCGCGCCATCTATCAGCTCTGCTCATTTTCAGCACTGTCTGAACTGTACTCGGAAACGTCGGTGCTGAACGGCTGTCCTGTCGGGTCTTGTGGTGTTATTTAAGTCTGAGGCTGGGCCGTGCCTCGTTCATTTCGGCCGGCGCATTTTGTGTTAATGCCTGTTTTTTTTTAAGTAACCGTTGGTATTGCAACTGCGATATAAAGGCCGCACTTGTTTTGGCTGACTGCCCTCACACCTTCCCACCCCACAAGGATACTGTCTAGGTGTAGTTCACACCCATAGTCTATGTGTGGAGGAGGTATTTGCGTGGTAAAACCGACAGGCGTTTTCCTGGCATTGATGTAGAGGGGCGCGTGGAGATAACCGACAACGGCCGGGTGGTACTGCCGTCTTGCATGACGTGCGAGGCCAAGCGGTTGTTGTTCTGCTTTGGTTCGTTATGCGAGCCCCTTTTCGCACCTCGATGGCATGGGGGGCGGCAGGCCTTGTGTGCGAAAACCAAAACCGATGCCGCACGCTCCACGGCTTCATGAAGCGTCGGGTGGATTGCTTCTTCGGGTTCACTTGATTTTCGCGTGTAAGTGGTGCTCGCCTTGCATTGGTTTCGTGACTCAAGTGTTGATGGTTTTTGGAGGTAGCCGTGTGTGGTATATTTAGCGCTGTCAGATGCGGTGTTACGACGTCATGATGAGATCCAAGGGTTCTTCCGTCGTCATGTTTTGCCCCATGTGGTTACTCGAAAGTGCAATTGAGCTGGTCTGGCGTGTGTTGGACTCAAGGCCGGATGGTGTACGTGAAAGGCTAGACAATAAAGCCTAAACAACAGAGATCGAGGATAGCAGGAACATCCTGCTCCGTGGTCGGACTACCGTAGTTCCACACGGCCCGACACGGAAGGCGATGGAAGAGAAGAAATTTCTCAAGCCATCAGCTTCCGGGGGAGACAATGGGCACAATGATTTCCTTTCCTTGGTGGTTTTGCTTCCCTTTTCCCTGCTGTTCGTTTTCTGCAACGCTATAGACAATGCATTCCAGGAGCGTTTGCCATCTTTTGGTCTTTTCGTGTTTTGTTTTTTCATGTGATTGTTCGCAAATAAATTATTGGTGATAGTAGGTTGTACCACGTTGTAGTCCTACAAGGGAAACGTTCACATGGTTTGTGATAAGGCCGACAGAGAACTCCCGGTATTGTAGAGGCGAGCGGAGATGTACCGCGCAAGGAAGAAGCGTTTAACGCTTTTGTTGTGTCACATGATGTGCGTATTATATAGTTGATATTGTTTGCTTCTCTTTCCTTTCAAATGTGCGCCTCTCGTTCCCCAAACAATGCGTAAAATCGAGTCGTTGGTTATGGTCAGAGAAGAACAAATCGCGTTGCAGCACGCTCCCCAGCTTCGTAGGGGTGCCAGGTTAACCTCTTCAGTTTTACAGCAATTAGTCTAAAAGTACTCCTAGACTATGGCATTTTTTAAGTTTGTTGTCAAGTCAGCTTCTTCCCAGGCTACTGTATGGATGAGCTGTGTCAGCGCGGAGAACTCGCCCTCGAGAACGATTCGAATGTAGTCTCTTGTGCACAAGGAAACGGGAAGGTTGGGAACTGTGAACGGTCACCCGAAAAACGGGCTTGCTTGTGTAGGAAGGGGGTGCGCAACCAACGTTGTAGCACCACAGCCAGAGCCTCCCTCCCTGTCATGTTCGCCGCGACTGTCGCGCGGGAAGGCGTGGGTGGGTGTCTCTATGGCGGTGGTAGATCGTATCAATCGTGAGAAACAATGGCGTGAAAATCGGGTAAGCAAAGCAGAGTGCGGATTTCTTGAAACAAACGTGCACATTTTCAAATGCCCATGCCGCACGATCCAAACACTCGATGATTTAGACTTAAACAGCCAACCCGCCCACCTGCCCCCGTGCTAAGCATGTTAGTCTCAGCAGCATTCGCGTGTTGCGCTTTTTTTTTTTGACACTTGCGCTACACCTACCACCGAATGAACGGTTTGTGTATCCATCCGTGTAAACGGCAAACACTCCTCCATTTGCATGAGTTTTTAGTATTATTACAGCATCGACCGCGCTACCCGGCTGACCAATGAAGATGCCTCAGTGCGTGCGTCGTCTATTCGTAACGGAAACACGCCAGCCACCGTTGTTGGTCATTCCACGACCAGGGCGTTATTGATGGCATTACAAAGATCTTGTCGGTGCTTCGCATTAGTGTCCACACACCCCCTATTGCCGAGTACTGGTAGTCAAGAATTGACACGCAGTCTGTGGGCATGTGGTAGCACCCGCACACCGGGAAATATCGGAGAAACACAGCTACCTCTCGGAGGATATATGCACGCCACAGGGAGCGACAGAGGAGAGTGGGGAAAACGACAGCATTGCACTTCCAGAGGAAACACCAGCCTCTCGTGGTTCAACTCGGTCGCACCCCTGGCCAAGATCCTCTCGTTCCCTTCTTGCCGAAGTTGCTACCAGACGAGCTACTTCGCGCACCGAGACTGTCTACCACTTCGTCACCAGGCTCAGCGCTCTGACCGGTGAACATGAACCCGCGCAGCTCTTTCTACAATTTTTGACTGCGTTTGGATTCCTGCTGCTTTAACCTTCCCCATGGGTCTACCCTTCCTTTCCACGCGCGCGGCCTCTGATGATGGAGGCATCATCCGTGTTCCCCCAGAAAACGTGCGTTTCCTTGGCGGCCGTTTTCTTCAGCCTTTTCTTCGCTGCGCGCTGTGCCGCTGTGCCGCTGCCTGCCATGCCATTGCGGCGCATCATAGGGTGACCCGAAGAGCCCGCAGAACCAAGGACGGTGCGAGGACCGGAGAACCGGTGCATCGGTGCATCGGTGCACGTGCACGTGCATACGTTATCCCGTCGGTTGCGTACATGTATCCGCAGTTCGCTCAGCATGTGAGGAGCAGTTTAGTTTCAACCTTGAGTGCGGACGCCAAGGGTTCGGTTCTTCTTCTTGGCAAGATCGTGCAGAAGTTCGTGGTGCGGTATCATTTCGTTCAACTTTTGGCTGTCTCTCGCGACAGCACAGAACAGCGAACGCACGGGGTCTGCTGTGAGATGGAGGCGGCGCCGTCGCACATCGTACCTGCTTCAACCACCAACGAGGTCAGCTTCTTCGCGTATCTCCGAGAGGTCGTGTCAGGGGTATGTGTGTTGCAAGAGGCGCCTCAAGCGGTTGCGTTGGAAGCGGCCTACCTGGTTCAGGAGGTGCCCGTCGTCGGGATTGTGTGCAAGACTTTCCTCGCCTTGGAGCACAGTTCGTGGAAACGGCCAGGAGCAACAAGGAGGACCTCGCGACCCCCCACGACCTGTGCGCCGTGGTAATGACAGGGGTCCTGGACAAACGCTCGGACCACTCGGGCTTGTTCAAGGAGGGTTTCGTAGCGCTCGAGAAACACGTGACAAAAGCGGAGGAGGTTGCTCAGCTCTGCAACGGAGGTCGTGTGAAACGGCTCGTCTTGGCTCGCAGGATCTGCAAGGACATCGTCTCTGTCAGGAACGACGTCGTGGCATTTTGCATGGCAAACGACGTTGCTACCACCAAAGATGTTCATGAAAGTAAGAATGTCAGTGTTAACTTGGCGGTGCCCGGGTGTGGACCCGAGAAGTAGGCTCAGGTGTTACCCCTGGTGACATTATCAGCGATGATCAAATAGCTTCAATGCTGTAGATCTTATGGCCACCTTCGTTCTGTGTGTATGTACGGCAGTTGTATGCTGCAACTACATATACATATAGGCCCCTGTTTAAGGCCACCTAGTGTCACGTGGAAAAACCGGCCTTGAACAAGGCACCCGGCCTTGTTGAAAACCGCCCTTTTTAGGGCCGATGCAGGCCTTAAAAAGGAATACGATTTTCTCAATAAGGCCGGTCACCGGGCTTACTGAGGAAATCAAGAGTGCCAAGGTGTAGTGCTGAAGGCCAGCAGGGGTGCACATCACACAATCACAGTGCCACAGCGCCGCTTTGGATGTGCACCACCTGGCATTCGTAAAGTAATGTCAAACGCACCACACAAGTATGTTCGCATGTTCCCAAATGTCCTTGCCCGCCAATTTGTAGCTGATGTCCGCCAAATAACAAGTGCCGTCAAGTATCTCCCCCTTCATACTGTAACTGGTCAAAGTTACTCTTTCTTGGCTAACCAATCTGTACGGCAGAAGGAAACGCAGGGAATGAGATTAAGTCCAAGCTTCCCGTAAGCAATTTCTGAAGCAAATATTGAAGACGAGAAAGTACGGGACGGCAACGAAACCACAAAACGAAAAAAAAAACTAGTGAGGGTCGACAAAAATGCTGCATCCGCGCTGATCTTGATCAGATTGAGAGGACTTCCCAAGAAAAACCTCTAACGACCTACACACTCCAACATTTAAATTACATCTGTCGCGACAAGCCCAGCTCACCAGCCGCACAAGGCATGTGTGTGCCCCTCCTGGCTGCGTCGGTAGGGGTACGCTAGGTATTTTCTGCTGCGTGTTTGTAGATTGATGCTGTGTTGTGGCTGCAAAAAAATGCGGCCGAACCTGCGTGCCGATTTCAAAACCGGCCTTATTCAGGGTGGGCATAGGGTCCCGACAAGCCTTAAAGAGGGACCATCCCTGTTTTACGCCTTTGCGGCCTTAAAAAGGAAGGCGATTTGTTCAGGCGATTCCACCAGCCTGAAGCAGAGCAACCGGCCTTAAATTTGTGGCCTTCAACAGGGACTTCTATTACTGTTTGAATCGACTTTATGCACAACAGACAGTACCAGGATACATATGCAGGGCTACCAACAGCTGACCTATTGGGGGGGAAATGGGCAACATATGTACATGCCCCTTTCTTGTTTTTCATCGCTCACAAGGCAGTAGTTTTCTGCCAGGTAGCTCCAAAATCCCTGAGGCCTCATACCCACCCCTCCTGCGGTGTTTGTCTTCGATTTGTTGAGGCGAAAAGAGTGCAGTACTCGCTTCCCTCAAAAGTGTTCACACGAACTACTGTAGGGCTGCCCACAACCAGGAACGGAAGCGAGAGAAAAAACAGAATATTATCTCGCAAAGTACGCCGGGATTCGAACCATGTAGAAGGTTGCGAGGATACGAACGAGACACCGACTCTCGACTACAGAGGTGAATTTAGGCGTAATGAGTTCGTAACTTCGGCGGAAGGGACTTGCAGTGATGACACATCCCTAATAGTTACGGATAGGAGTGCATTCTCGCGACTGCTGTGGTCAACATTGCAGTAGCTGCCAACAGACGGAGTTCGCGTATCACGGCCTGACTCAACAACAACCGGGCACCGGTGGGTATCTAGACCGCCGTGAATCGTCAGCCTTCCATACGACGTTTCCCAATCTCACTGGCAGCCACATCTCTCGATAGACCCTAACGACCAGTTGGCTTTGACCTTCATGGTGACCTGAATCTTGTTGCTGCGAGTGTATTTGCGTGGATATTCGGCTTGCCAAACACATGCGTGGCAGTGCTATGTACAGCCGTGTCGGTGTGGAGTGCGCTCCTTGGTCGCAGACGGCAACGACTTGCAACGACTTCCGCTGTTGGCACAAAGTTTAACGCGATAACTAGAGGTACAGCACGACCTGAACCGAGAGGAAGAAGGTGGAGATCTCCGCGGGAGGTTGCCACAGCTTGTAGAGTCGTAAGCGACGCAAACAAGTGGTACTAGAAGCGTCGTCCTCGTCAACTTTCGTTCGGCATATCGGGATCTGCCCATGACACGATTTCGCCGGCATGTCGTCGAGAACCTGCGGCTTTAGACACTCTCGCGTAAGCGTTGCGTATTTTGAAAAATTCCAAGTTTCGTCCAGCAGGCATCGTTCACCTGACGCCGCATGTCTGTTTGACGCGCTGCGCTGCTGTATGGAGGACGATTGGTAGCGGTTCGCGGCCCGAATATAGTAGATTCGCGGTGAAGCGGTGAAAGCATTGAGAATTTAATATGCACGTGCTTCTTGTCCGGCGCTCCCCGGCCAACCTATGCACAGGCCAAAGTCATCAAGCTTGGGGAGGATGTGGATGGCAAGATTGAGGCGATGCACAGGCTGGCGATCACATAGGCAGACCATGAGGCCATGAGGAAGGAGGTGGAGGAGTGGAGGAGTTGCGCAGGGTGGTCGAGACCAAAGACGAAGATTCGTTGGATCTTAAGGTTAGCATGTCCTGCTGTGTCGACACGCTTTTCGGTGCTCCCCACCAAGGCAAGTTGCGTGAAACCCCCCAAAGCATGTACGGAAGTCCGCATCATGGTGTAACATAGAATTGTCTCGAGATCCTTATGGAAAGATTGCGCCATAGTTGTGTATTTGAGCGAAAAAATTAAGGAAGGGTGACAAAACTATTAGTTGCATGTCTTAATTGAATCGCGGTTGCTCATCTTGTTCACCTTGCTCGATGCTCGAATGTATTGAAATGGTCGAACGTATTGAAATGGTCGAACATACCCGTGGGGCACATGCCTTGGAATACGTTGATTCTTCCGCCTTGCGTATGGCAATTAGCGTGTATAACATCTGCAATGACACAGCAGGGTCTTCCGTAGGACTTGAGCGCAGACTGAGAAGGCGAAAAAGCTCCACTAGATGGTCATCGCGAACGTCGCGGACCATTCTTCGTCGGTTCCACCTGTGTGTCGCAGATCACCGGAACGTATGAATCCCGTCCTTGGTTGCAATAAGTCTTTCGTTCAAGCCCACAATGTGTATGTGCGCGGTGGAGAGTGAGCCTAACCCCCGAACTGTGTGTTTTTGGTCATTCTTTGTTCCGTCTGTTTCGCCATGGCTGCAGCCGGGAAGCCTTGGCCGCTATGCAAGCAGAACTCGAGGTAAGCAGTATGTCATTGAGCTGACCGCTTTTGTTTCTTGTTTGGAAGATCCACACCTTTTGGCATCTATTCCTGTGCGCATTCAATCGGGAAACGGTGGTAGAATAGGGGACTCTGCAACGTCCGAGGCGTTCGAAATCTCGTTCATCTCGACCACATCGTGTACCAACTTCATTCCCCCTGATCTGCGAGTCATGTGTTGGTGTTGTTTCGTTAGCATTGCGTCATCGAAGATGACGCAGGGGAGGCCTCAAGGTTTAGGCGGGTACTTGTGCCTAGAAATGCCGTACTGTCCTACCTTTGCAGATGGTCGATTTGGCTGAACTCTATGCCCCCTTCACTCTACTGACCCAGGAGCAGCGCAGGATTGCAGACCTAGCGAGTAGGGTCAAGGTTCCCCCCGGAGCCCCACGTATATCGAGACTGGTACGCCGAGCGGGAGGGGGTGGTCTCCGAGGCGTGTGATCGCTTGGGCATTGGACGCTGCGACAACGCCTCCGGAGAGCCACGCATGGTCGGGCCGGCAGGCCCCAGCGGCGCGGGAAAGTCCACGATCGCGTCGATGCCCATCGCACGGCAAGACTTGCGGGCATCTTTCCACAAGGGGTTGCTGTGGCTTCGAGACGGCCGGTAGAGTTGCGGCAACTCTCGAGCGATGGTCAGTCCTCACGCTCGAGGGAGGCGGCATGTACCGTGTACATGACAACCACACGGACTTCGTTCAAGGGTGCTTTGCGGCATACCAGAACGCGAGGCAAAGGACTCTGCGGCGATGGCGAGCGTACATCTCGAGCGTCCGTGCGCTTCGCTCCTACACAAGCTTGTGGCTAGTAGAGATGTGGGAAATGCTTGAGCGAGCGGAAGGCAACGGCAGGATCTCGCATCAGTTTGGCACGGCGCTGGATGCAGCGTATGCAGCTGACTCCTCGAAGGCTGAGCTCTCGGAGGCGCTTGGAAGAGCGGCCCGTTTCGACTGCGGCGGAAGGACTGGATGGAAGCCTATACCAAGAACTTGCGAGTGCTGCACATCCACGAGAACACCATCGGTCCATGTACTACGGAGACAGCCGGAACCCTACACTCTCTCGGGGCATGCATGCACAATGAGGGCAGGAGGGATAAGGCCGAGGGTTGTTATCGACAAGCCCTCGCCATCAGGAAGGAAATCCTGGGTGACAATCACCTAGACGTGGCGCGCACGCTGTACTCTCCTAGGGGTATGCGTATACGCCCTTGGACAGTTGACCCGGGCCGAAGAATTTTATCGAGAAGCGCTAACTATTCTGGAGAACTAACTGGGGGCCGATCACCCTGACGTGGCTGAAGTCCTGCACTACCTCGGGGTGTGCATGTACAGCAGGGGGCAGAAGGAGGAGGCTGAGGTGTTTTACCGGCGAGCACTCGCCATCAGGAAGGCGAAGCTGAGGCCCGATCACCCAGATTTATCGAGCACTCTGCTCGAGCCCGCTCAGTGTGCCGCTGGCAAGGAAGGGTTCAGGGAAGACGTGGCAGGGTTGGTTCGGCAATTGCTCGCTGCTGGAGGGGGCAGGTGCCTTGGAGGCGGTTTGTCGAGTATTAATGACACATTCTGCGGCAGGGAGGATTGGGGAGGCCCAGGGGTACCATGGGCGAGCGCTCAAGACTCGGGAAAAACAGCTCGGCGACGATCACCTGGACGTGGCGACCACCCTGAACAACCTTGGGATGTGCGCTTTGAAGGGAAGCTGGTTGGAGGAAGCCGAGACGTACCATCGGCGAGCGGTCAAGATTCGGGAAAAACATCTGGGCGACAATCGTGTGGACGTGGCGATAACCCTGAACAACCTTGGAATGTGCACTTACGAGGCAGGCAGGACGGAGAAGGCCGAGGCGTACCATCGGCGAGCACTCAAAATTCGGGAAGAACAGCTGGGCGACGATCATCTGGACGTGGCGACCACCCTGGAAAACCTCGGGATGTGCGCTTTGAAGGCATGGAGGACGGAGAAGGCCCAGGGGTACCGTCGGCGAGCGCTCAAGATTCGGGGTAAACACCGCTACGACAAGAGCGGAAATGCCAGCAAGTTCCGCGCCACTCTCCGTTTCAAGGTAGGTGACAGAATCAAGACGGAGAGGGCTCTCCCGGTTTTTTATGACTTTGCCCCGACCACCGGCATCGTGCACCACGGTGTGCCTATTGAGTAACCTGGTCCCATGGTCATCGTGAGCGTGCTGGATGAGCAAGAATAGAGAGCCGTCGACCGAACGAGCGTAGCTCCACAAACCATGCGTAGGGTGTCTTGTGGGGAGAATCTCTCAGTCTCCACCCACAGCTCTAGACAGCATCTCAAGTATCGGAAGGGTACTTCCAGATCTATGTTCTTCCAAGAAACTGGGCACACGTTCCTTTCCTCAGTGTTCTTCGTACGGTTTCTTTCCACCGTCATGACAATCTAGACACGTCATATGGAGTAACTTCGAAGAGAAAAACCACTCTGTTTACCTACTTCTACAATTTGTACCTATGTAGAGTGTTCGATTGCCCACCTTGGTTGAATCATACTGTGCTTTGACATGATTCTCGACATAAGACTATCCAATGCATAACAGTAGTTGCGGTACACGTCCGCACAAGGAAGCTGTTCATCGTTCATCGGATAAATCAATCCAGGGAGACAACGGAGAACACAGAGGAGAAACGCCATGACAATGTAGACACGTCAGTTCAGAATATACGCACTCGTTCACGGCACCAAAATCACTGCCGGGCGGACCGAGTGGCTGTAGTGAACCTTTTTCTGTGTCACCCATGAGATGATCGGCGGGTGGTCCATTGCCTCTCTGCCTCCCGCCTCTCTTTCTTTCTCTCGCATTCCGCGCCAAGGAATTGGTCGAACAGAGCTGAGTATTACTGCTATCTGCCTGGGAGGCAGGCGCTTGGAGCATTCTAAGATTGCGACACATGCGCGCGTCTTCTCTCTGACGTGATACGCCCGCGCGCATAGAAATATTGGAGGAGAACGGATGGGAGAGAAAAGCAAATCACACACTTCGACTTATTGCTGGTTTTACGCAAGTTTATCGACTCAAATTATAAATTGAAGGACCCGCAGAAACTACAGTACGCAAGACGGCTTTGGAGGAATTTCAGGCCGGCGCGACGGATGTGGTACTCCGAGTATTCGTGCGTCTATTCGTGCGCATTATATTATTTGCCTACCCCCCTGCAGTCTATTCTAGCATGAACCTCCGTGCTAGGGGACACATCTCTCCCTATTCCGGACACGTAATTGCTGCCCTCGTCGGTAGATGAGTGCCCCACTGCTCGCTTACATATCACACGCGCCCACCGGCCTCGAAAATGACGGGCGTTGTGTTGAGATGCCCCCGCGCCTAGAAATGAAGAATATGAATATGTTGTTTTTGCGGTTGTATCAGTGGTGCTGACTCCCATCGACGACTCCGTCAGTCCTGTATACACCCTTCGTGTCTTCGGCGTTTTCCGCCGCAATAATGAATGTCTCCTCATGTTGTTGCAAACGAATTAGCGCCCCGACGACAAAACGCGTGGTGACAACGAGAACGTCGTATCTCGTGACGGTATCGGTTCGGGGGGGAACGAGCTGCTCCGGTGACGGAAAGCCGGGAGGCGAGGTGAGCGAGGGAGTACACACTAGGGAGGGCGAAGGAGGGCGCGGTGGAAGCCCTATTTACTAGTTAGTTCATGCTGCTGCTTCCGCCGCCGCCGCCGCTACTGTTGCGCCTTTGTTCACTGTTATCGGTACAGATAAGGCGTTAGAGACAACTACAACAGCAACAGCAACAACGATGCAGAATCGTGTTGCTTGTTATTTTAAGGGGCATTACGTGTTACCCTACCACGTCAGCGATCGCCGCTTCATGCATGGTATTCGCGCCGGCTGCATTTTGATGTGTAGGCGAGTTCTGCGGCTCGAAGCCGTGGTGTTGGCGGCCCTACTATGTACAAGTAAATAGTGCTGACTACAAGGTTGCCTCACGATGCACCTGTCCTTCCTTTTTGGTCCCGCTCGTCGCCGGCCGCTGTTCTCTTGTGGTTGCCTGCCGCTGCCGTACTGCTGTCATCCCCTCCATGGGTGTCGGGGCGATTCATCTCCCCCTTATGCTCTTGGACCATCTGTTTTGCCCGAACTCTTGACGCTTTTCCAGGGGTGAGTCCTATATCCGTGGCGCAAACCCCCAAGAGTGGAACCCCTGTTGGTCGGCTGGACGGAGATGGGTGAACCATGCCGTTTTTTGTGGTCCATTGTTGGCGGGTTGGGCCGCCTGCGACGTGCCGCGGTGTCCCCAGGGCTGACATGGAAGTTTTTTTTACGTTTTTGAGATGCAAGTTCCAAATGTTTGTATCTGTTTGACGTGCATTTAGTTAACGGCGGTGCCGAAGGTGGTGGTGACGGAAGTGGTGGTGATGGACATGTTTCGATATTTCTGCTCCTGAACAACAACGCCAAAATCAGTTCCAGGTTGCAACCATACCGCAACCAGCTGCGGCTGAGGGAACGGCACCCACACTCCCCCGCCCCCCTCGAATGTTTGATGAGATGCTTTTTCAAGACGTATGCATCGCCAGTTTTGTTTTTCATGAGATATCTTGCGTGGCCGTCACATAAGTTCTTGAAATATTTTGCGTGTTTCCCTCTGTTTCCCCTCCTCTATTTTTGTCTCATGTCAGCTTGCCTCGAGCAAGCTCGGGGTACATGCCATACATGATCGTATTGACCGTTGAGATCCCTTTTCTGTTCTTTTTCAGTTCATTGACCCAGGTCTCACCGCCAGCGGAAGACCAAGCGACGGCCACTTAACGCGAAGAGAAAAAGTGCACGACGACCACGTCGTGGCTGTGTTTAACCGCGTGAGTCTTTATTTCCCTCAAGTTTGTTTGATGCGGTTCTGGTCTGGTCATCGGACAGTCCTCTCCAGTTCACTCGCGTTAAGCTTGCGCGCGGAAGGTCGGTGTCTTCATCGATGCGTATCCGCGGCTTCTCAAGGGCTAATGGTTCAGACGCTTTCAGCTTTCAATTTTCTTCACAACACACTGGGTTCAAGAAAGACGCAAGTCTCCTGCGACATTGTAGCACCACCCGGGGCCTTTGTCTTGCTATAAGCCTGGCTGCATCTTTTGTTGGACCCCTTCAGAATCTTCCGACAACCATGGTAAGGACGTCTTGGCCACGCAAGTTGTTAGTCCCCCCCGAACAATGGGCGATCATCGGTACGTTGATGTCACCATACTGCTGCTATTGCTACTGCTTGCAGCAGTGCCGACGAGCAGCGGGCACATGGGCACGCAGAAAACAACATCTCGCCCGCAACGGAAACAGTCACGAGCAGACAATTTTCACCCGCAGACAATCACCAGTTGTTTGTTTGCTGGTGGCGGTGTTGTTCGTCCTTCTCCTTGAGTTTGTCTGATCTCTATGTGGCACTACCCTCGGCAACATCTGGCCACAACATCCCGCGCCGGCGTGCAAGATGGACAAGTAGCTCTTGCGGTGACGGAATACGACACAATGTTCAAACCCCGAATCCCGATGCATTCATGACCTTATTGCACGTGCCTGTACACAGGGATACTCGCGTCTAAAATGAGCGAGATGACCCACAGGCTTCGCGTGGTGTCGGCCCTTTGGATGCCAAACCAATACCACCTCATCTCCTGAATCATTTGTTGTTGCATATTCTACATGTCTGCGTAGATGGCGGTGACAGCATCGAACCCAGTCTGCTCGTTGACCCGCCGTACGCTCTCTGTTCCCTCTCACCCCTCCGCTGACGAAACACTTGCCGCCCGGTTGTGAAGGTCATGCTCGCGGACGGTCTCAAGGTCCTGAAGCAGCTGCGCAGCTGCAAGGCGGCGTGCAGCCGCGTGATCCGCTTCGTGCCCGACTACTTGTTCGGAGGGTCTCTGGTGTGGCACAAGCCTGTCAACCCGCAAGGCGCAAAGAACAGCAGGGTCCCACTGGACGTGACCACCCAGGTGGAGCTGGAGGTGAGATTACTAGATGGCACAGCGCTCCCTCCAGCTAGCGTGGTCGCAAGCTTTCTTTGGTGTGGGTTTGTTTTGCCTTGTCTCGAGCACAGGCCTCATTTCTGCTGTCGCTCGGTTGCTTCTCAAATTTTTGGGCTGTTTGTGTTCACCTCTTCTATGATGTCTCTCGCATGTCGCCGAATCTGTCTGTCCTAGTGCCTCCCAAGCTCTGTTCGTAGAATGTGCCTCCAGCCCTTTGTTCCTGGTCAGTTCCTTGGGTTTGTCTCGTCACAACCCGGCTCGGCGTTGTTGCGCCGTGCTTGTCTCGTTCTATTTACCGCCTGTCATGTACAGCGCGGCAGCGATTTAAGCGATCCTTGCTACCCTTCCAACCCGTTGTTTCTCGTGACGTCGTCTTCGCGCTGCTGCTGCGAACCGAGCTCTTCTTGCTGCTTGGGGGGGGCTTCCATGGCGTTTTGTTATGCCACCCACCTATGATAGAAGGCTTGTTCGCACCGAGTCATGCCATCAGAAAATCGGGAACATATTCCCCCCTCCCCCAGCGACAGCACACGTTGGTACCTCACACGAATGCCTGCAGTTGAACGCTTAATTTCTGGCCTCCCCTTACTCTGCGGGTTTCTTGCGTTGGTCGGCCAGGCGTGCATCGTGTGGATCTCGGCGAGTGACGAGCGTGTCGGGTGTGAGACGTCCAAACTAGAAGACGCTGAGATAATGTACGAGGCGATCTGTATCCTTGTAGACAGGTGCAACGCATGAGCCCCTAAAAGCCTCCGGGGCGCGCATTCGAGTGCAATCCTGCGCGGTCAAGACGACGCTGCTGGACGCCGCCGGCGTACGATATGTGTTTGAATAAGAGCACGGCAGGGAAGTGTGCACGAGACATGAGTGTATGCACAGACGGACACACGTGACCGGCGACGCCTCCGTGGTCTCAAGGGCAGTAGTACTAGCTCGACTAGTCACTGCACGTGTTTTTTGGCAGGGCCGTGCTCGAGGTCAAGGGTAGCCTTGGCTCGGGCGTCGTGGCGTGCAAACCGTAAAACACCGTGCCGCTGCGTGCCAACTGTCGACACGCCACGTCACAGATGATCGCACGCGCCGGTGCCCTTTACGGCTTGATAGCATGTCATCGTGCGCTTGCAAGAAAGTGGATAGACTAGGTAGGTTGATGTATTGGTTTGCAAGCGGCCCTTTGTAGGTAGGTTGATGTGTTGGTTTTTGTCTTGTCTTGTAACACGAAGGACGCTCGATCATGCTGGAGCTGGCTCAGTAAGCCCCAAAGCGCAAGGAGGGGCACTGTGATACAGTTTGTCCGACAACCTCGACGTTGTCAGAGAAGCACGTGGCCAAAGCGTGGAGCCCTCGTTCCTTGACGGTATGAACATTCTCGCTCAACTCCTGGGCCCACTCACGTCGGTCTACCCCCCTTCATTTTGCGTCTGCGCTCTCAGTGTTTAGTTTGTTTCCTCTCCTGTTGAAGGGCTTTGCCATTTATTCAGCCTTGGGCTCATGTGGGCGATGGTAGAGAAGAAATATCTCAATATACTTGCTCCTGAGGGAGGTGGGCGCAACGACCTGCTTGATACGTAGCTAGTCTAGAGAAAACCTCATCCGATCACTCCCTTGCAGGGATTCAAGCACAACGCTGGGAAGATACACAATTGACAAGCGGGAATTCAAGATTTTCTGAGCTGCTCTGCTGTAGGACAAGCTAGGCATAAATTTTTATTTTTTTCATGGCGTGGGGGATGGCATGGCCTGTGCAACCTCAGCCGTGACCCCCCGGCCTATAGTAGTGGGCACAGATAGAATAATGTGGTGACTTTTTTTATTGGGGATGTTGCATTCGTTTCTTTTGTTTGGCTTTGTATTCGGTTGGCATCTCGTCCCGAGCGGGAGCGATGCGCTTTTTAATGTTCTCGTTGTCCAATATGTTGTCGGCGGCGCCGCCTGACTGCTGCTTGGGTCCTTTTCTACACACTTCATCTGCTGTTTTTGTTGGGTTCTATTATCGCATTTCGGGACGCTTTTTATTGGGGACCCTTTCTTCCTCTTGGATTTGTTCGAAGTGTGAGCCCCTTTCGGCGTAGTCGACGCATGTGTACGACCACGAAAGGCATCCGTGTCGGGCGGGCCGGTGTGTCAGAAGGTACTTAACGACCTGAACTTTTTTCGATGTGAAGACACCGGGAACGACAAGCACACTCACTAACGAAGATGGCGGATGCCATGAGCGTAACGGAGAGGCATCTCCTCGAATGCCCGTACTTGCGCACCTTATCGACGGGAAAAAAACAACAGGCCCAGAGTTTCTCACGCTATATACGCCAGACAGTCCCGTGATGACGCCAATACCAAAGAGCGTCTACAGGAGAATTAAAAGCACATACATACCGCCGAACTACATACACATGACATGATGATCATCCCGTGCGGAATAATGTCACCCGAACAACTCTTGAGTACATACATGAATACCCGCCTCACCTATTTTCGCCGCCCTCGTCGGACACGAGGAACAGCACTCACTATCGATCGACAAAACACAAAAGTCCAGGAAACTTAAGAGGGATCGGTCATCATACATTCACCGTTCGTTGCAAAGTGCGGGCGCAAAACAAATAGCCAATGTATACGCACTCGGCGGTGAGAAAACACCAACAAGAGCACGCCTAGCAAGGCTTCTCAACACGCGACAAAGGTTGCCGGAACAGGGGGGAGCGTCGCGCTCAAGCGCTTGAAGCTATAGCCCATGGGCCCAACATACATGTAAAAACGACAAAGTTGTGGAAATGCCGACTCAACACTCAACACCAAGTTGTGAATGCCGACTAAAATATACAACACAAAGTTATAGATGCCAACGAAATACGTAACACAATGGGAGTAATGCTGTGTGGAAACCTCAAACAGCGATCCACCACCAACTTCGATACACAGACAATCAATCAAGACCTCGAGTCCAGCACAAGCTGTCGCAAGGACAACCACGCACGGCCCGTGGCAATCACTCCCGGTGGCACGTCGGCGCACCCACATCAACATATTCTAAATACATGGTATATCACAACCACACAACAGGTGTCTAATGACCGCGCTCGTTCGCAAAAAAAAGTAGTCGGTCATGTGAAACAGATTCCGGTCGCCAAAAGCGCATCAAGAATTCTCGTTTGCTCCAGGTACTTGTCGATGAAGCTGTCGATGGACATCGGGGTCGCATCGGTACAAGACGAGTAGGCTTGGAGCATGTTCTTCACAAAAGACCGTCGCTCGCCTTCTTCTAGTTCCAAAAGCCGGTGCACGTCGAACGATACTGGGAGTTGCTCCTCGCTCTCTACCTGTGGAGCAACGCGGAGTGTGGGTGTGGGTATTGCCGGGTGCATTGTTGTTACCAATTAGCTCGCGATACCAGCACAAGTTCTACCTGGATCGTGGGTTGGAATTCCCTCCGTATCCTTCGTGCGACCCCGGTCGTATGCGTTACTCGAAGTTGAGCTAGTTGCCACTACCCCACGTTCGCAAAAGTCTACTGGGAAACCCTTGGTTGGTAAGCGACATGACCGACGATTTCGCAGAAGGGCCAACGCGACAAGTGCTGTTGTGTTCATATTAACACCGTTCCGATCTCTACCTCCCTCCGTCCGTCCTGATGTAACACTTGACGCAGTCATTCCCGTGGTCACAGGCTAACTTCAAAAAAGGTATACTGAAAAAAGTGGATGGTGACCATGTAACGAAAGATCCATGTAATGTATACAGGCAGCAACTCAAAGCAAGAGAGGGCGAACCACAAAAACATCACGTCGTAGAAAAGTACCTTAAACATGGCGACGAGGTCCTTCAAGGCTGCCTCTTCGGTCCTTGCAAGCGCTCTCCGTGTATCCATGTCGTGCTCGCTTCTGCATAAACCCTCGCCCTTTAGTCCAGACGTGACATTCAACCAACAACCGCATCAAAATATTCATGGTTAGAGCTCGCCAGCGCCCGCCAAATGTGTCACTTGTAGTTGTGCGAAACACACGCGCAAGTAGGGTACTCTTGCTGGAACGTCCTATGATATGCAACCATGAATATAATGCAATTCCACTCGGAAAAGAGAGACAGGTTGACAGACATCTGGCTGATTTCCACGACGCCGCTGCTGTCCACTGCGAAAACACCAGCAGAGCCGGCCCGCTCTCTCAGCTACATAGAGCCACAAGAACTCGAGGACCACATTTTAGGAAAAATAAGGTAAACGGCGTCAGAAATAATGGGCTCAGCCGCCGGCACCACACTAGCATGACACACCACATCACCACCGTTATCATTTAAGGGCGTGAGCGATTTTTTTCGCGATTTAGATACACTAACTTTTCTTGTACTCTATTTTCAGTATAATAGCCAAACTCGACCACAAAAATACGAGGCAATCGCCTACGGGGGAAGAGCCTAAATTTAAACTCACTCGTAGGATGCACCGCCGGTTCCCCAAGCTGCGCCGTCGCCCGCTCGGTGGCCTGCCGGCCGGCATCCAGTCTTCTTCTCGCGCCCTTTGGTGCATCACGTCCATTTCAGTGGGTATTGGTACAGCGAGCGATCGTGGAGGTGTCCTCCTCAGGTCCCGTGCAAAGGGAAACCTGCGGTGGCAAGTGGCACGCAGCAGCAGCTACAAGAGTCAGCGTCGATGGGAAGTGGAAAAAAACGAGAACGGGGTGTAGTCTACGTGTACACCTTGCAATAGGAAAAAGTAGCTTGTAGATGAGCAGTCTAGACTACGGCTGTCCTTGTTTTGTCTTGGGCATCGAGTCGGCCGTTCCGCCCCACACTGCTTAGGCGTAGTGTTTGTGGCACGTGAGGGGCGAGCCACTACATATGCTCCTAGCTAACGAGACTTGTGCGAGTGTGGGTCTTTGCCGGCCACCGCACGGTTTCGTTGTTTCGTTCGTCAGTTACGCACGGGTGGCGACCGTCAATTCGTACGCCTTCTGAAGGCCCGAGAACCGAGGACAGGGGCGGGAAACGCCGCAGCACAACCTGCAACCCACCGCGTTGTACCAAACCAAGTTTTCTGCTAGCACATGCAATGGTAAAGTGAATGAATCTTGGCCAAGAGGGGTGAGCCCAGAGGTTGTCAAAGGTGCCGTACTACAGCTGCACAACAGGAGAACTCTTCCACCAAGGACAGACGGTGTGCGGTTAGTTACGTATGTTTACACCTGGTGCACATTGATTGGGTGAGCTCTTGCCCACCGCACCCATCTGCAACAGCCATGTGTACGTCACACATGCGCAGGGTCCCATGCCACACAGCAGTAGCACTCACCGAGCGGTACCGAGATTGAGCTGGAGGTGAAGCCAAAGCGCCGATAGTGGGAGTGTGGTGCATGCATTATGCTTGAAGGCGGCGAGAGAGATCCGTTTTTTGGGAAGGAGAAATAGAGAAATACGAAAACAAAAAAATGAGAATATTTTCAGTTCGGAAATATCTTGGTCGCGGGGCGCGCCTATTGGACGGGGTTATACGGTCCCGGCGCTTGGGGAGAGAAGCCCACCACGTTGCAAAACACACAACCCACCTACCGCGTTCGCGTGTTTGCATCCACGTCCCTCTCTCCTCCAAATAATGTCGACTACGGGCAAGCTCTCATCGTACTTCACAAAGCGGCGGGAGGTTACGAGCGGTCGCGCGGGTCCTGAAGAACTACACGTAGACAGCAGTTCATCATCCAGCTCGGTGAGCAAAACGCACACCAATCGGCGGTACTGCTCTGGTACTGTGTATTTAGTCTGTAATACTGCTACTGCTTTATGTATCGTAGTCTTTTGTAAATAGTACAACAGTAGGCTACACCAACAGTTTCACATAGCACTGCTGTCCGCAAACTATGGGATACAGTGTAGAATCGGCTAATTTGGGGGGTTGGGTCAGGGTTAAGATCTGTAGGGGGTCCAAATGCCAGTGGGAATGTCAAACGGCAAAATGTCTTTTACACCGCTGTTGTGCACACTCTGCTTGTGTAGCGCTCTTCTGTGTTGGGGGTTGGGGGACTGCTGTCTCGTCCAGACGCATCTTCTGTAGGGAGTGGAGATGGTTGTGTGACATTGCCTCCCAGCTGAATCCTGGCCTATTTTTTTGGTGTTGCGAACGGCAGCTGTAGGTTGTACCCTTGAAGTAGTAGTTGTGCATGGTAAACGGGTCTGTTTCCGGTTGAGCACCTATTGGCTGCCTCTGGGGTAGACTTTTGCGTCTGATTCGTCTACTTACTGAAAAGTAAATTCCAGTTTGGTTGTGATGATCTGGCTAGTGATATGAGAAACAGTAGTCCCATGGTCGATGTGTGCTCGTTAGACCGGGAGAATGTGGCTGGAAGAGAGCGACAAGTTGTGCCCTAAACAAGGAAGTGACCCGACATGGCGGCACTGGTGTGCCTGAGTTTGATACCAACCGTCCCTGTGTCTTAGGGTAGTTTTCCCGTCGTCAAGAATCGTGTTATTGAAAGACTGCTTGCTGCTTACAGTCACACTTTGCCCAGGAAGCATAATTTCGCACTTGCCCGAAAACACTCGAATCTCTTCGGCATTCCCGCCGTTTTTTGTCGACAACGGGTGTAAGTTGTGCTGAAGAATTTCCCGCACGGTGAGTGCGAGCAAGCAAGGCAATTTGAATCAAACGGTATTGCCAGATAATGTGTAGGAGATAGAGAGGCTACGAGACCCGCGGGTATGTCACCAACAGCACCAAATTTGAATCCCCTCATGTTTGTCTGGAGCCCAGCATTTATTCCTCGGCTGCATACGCACCTCTCTACAGCTGCCGCGCACAACAAGTGAAAACCCCTGTGGTGTTGTGTAGGCTGGGTTGTCGACTTTTTCTTGCCCCCCCCCTCGTCAGTGGTGAGCCCCACAGCCATTCTCCTCTCTGCCCCCCTCTCGCTGGTTGCTCAATGGGCATACCATATAGCTCATATCTCGCCACTGCCCGTATGGTCTGTTTTTCTTATGTCAAGGTACGAGCACGGTTGGAGAAGAAATTGCAGGTAAAGCAGAAAACTGGGTTCGCCTTCAACTTTGCGGTAGACAGCGACGCAGATGAACAGCGGCAAGAAGGTGGGCAGGAGGGGGGAGACGCTGGCGAGCGAGGATCATTCTGCTTTAATTTCAACCCAGCAGACGCCAGCGACGCTCCTACACGTGTACCGGAGAGTAACGAGGCAAGAAAAAGAAGCGGCGATGCCTCTAGCCTGCGTGCAGCGCAGGACTTTCTTACCGTGGTCGAAAAGAGTGGAGCGCAACCTAGCGGGAAAAAGAAAAAGACTGGAGCAGGAAAGAAGAAGAAGAAGAAGAAAAAGAAGGGTGGCAAAGGGGAAGCGCAGCAGTCTCGAGAACAGAAAGCTCAAGATCCTGTCTGGGAAGGACCTGAGCAAGAAGATGTCGCTGATTGCCCGATCACCTCCAGTCACGGCACGGTGGGTGACGGCGGAGGGGAAGCAACGAGCAGCGCCGTCACCTCTCTTCCCGCCGCCGCTGCGAGTGACTCGAGCCCCAAGCGCGAGAGCAGGCAACGCCCCCCCGGGCTGCGGCCACCGCCCGGCTTCACGCTGGAAAGCTGGAAGGATCCAGCCATAACCGGCGAGGAGCGGCGAAGAAGGAGGTTCGGCAGCGGGGTACGGAACATGGTCGCTATTCAGCGCAGTTGTGACGCAAGGCGAGGCTTGATTGCGGATGGGGAAGTGGCAGTAGAGAAGTTGTCCGAGAGGCAGGGGGAAGGGCTGGAACGGCCTGGTTGCGACAGAGCACGAGGGATGGTTGGCGCTGGGGCTCCAAGCAGTACCACCGGCAGAGGATCATCGGTTTTTGCTTTCGGCTTTGACATCGGTATATCGTTCGATGGTGGCAGCTGAGCGTTTGTGCATGTGCTTTTGTGTGCGTTATCTGTGGTTTTTAGATAATACTCTTGTACCCCACCTCCGGTGCGCCGATAGTAGGTCTTGCGTTTCGGACGATCATTGGATGAGGGCAATAAGTGATGGGCGTCCTCTCGTTGGTCGTCGTCATAGTTGGGCATCCTAACCCATGCACATGGTCCTGATGATACGCGTACGTGGTGTGCGTGATGCACGCAAGCCGTTACTTGGTTCTGGCGCGGAAACCCGAATTGTAGGACGAGCTGCAAGGCGCCCTGCTGGGCGATTTGATCAAGTGCGAAATCTTGGTCAACTGATAGGAGAGTGCAATATAACAGGCTTCGACCAGAGGAGTTGTCGGGAGTAAATAGTTTTTTCTCTGATACTTGTTGTGTGTTTCCGTCCCACATGTTCTGGGGGCAGTCTACACCTTTCGGTAGATGTATCTGTCAGCCGGGGTATATAGCACAGCAGGAGAAATTCCCTTTTTCAATAAATGTTAGCCAATACAGTCGCTCCCCTTGTTATTTTTACCCCGCCCCCTTGGCGGTGCTTGCCTTCGATTCTCAGCGGAAAGGGACTAGCACAGTCGCTCCCCGCTTGTGTATATCCACGGATTACAGGTCAATTGATCGCTTCCCACCGCCGATGCAAGTTGTTCACTCCCGAACGAGATTCCAACCCGCAAGCTGCTTCTAGTTGATTTACTTATTTATTTATTTAGGGCCCCTGGGGTGACGAAATGTCTAGAACCCTCTGTTTTTCCTTGCGTGCATCATTTAGAGTTGCTGCTGGGAAACATCCCGACTCTCCAAAGAAATTAAGTGGTATTGGGTAATGTTTTGGAAGGCACAACACAAACGAGACGTTGCTATTGACGTTGCTATTGATGGTTGGGCCGTGTCGGAGGCCTGCTATAATTGTATCCGTTTCGTGCACAATTTAGAAAGTAAACATAACCTCACAGAAAGACTACCCGTTCGAGATATACCTTCAGTCGAAAGAGATGTGGTGGAAGTCTTTTCAGTACGTGGATTGAAACCGACTGGAGACTGGGCGTATTTTGAGTTTGTGTAAGCCTTACACTGAGTTATCAGTGATGCCAGTTGGTGCAAAGAACAAAAGCATCTGTATAGGCGGATGCATTCTTAACACATCCCGTGTAGTTTTCCACTGGGTCGACGACAGAACTATCGGGGAGAAGCCCTCCGTCATGTCATGTCATGTGTTACATGTACTTCATCCTGGCCAATCGATGTAACAAGGTGGTTTGTCCGCGTGTACTGGCTTTGCACCCAAACATCAAATACATGTTGGTACCGTATCGCCACTGCACACCGCGTTAGACACAGATTTTCAAAGCTCAGTAAAATTACGAGACTGAAGAAAGAGCAATCGACGTGCCGCTCGATGTACAGCAGTCAGCAGTACGGCGAACACGAGATCGCGCCAAAATATACTACTATGGACTAACAGCAGATATTTCTTTGTCTCTATGTTTCTCCCTTCTTCCCCTCGCTCCTCGACAAGCTTTTGCTTAGACATGGGTTGTAGTGAAGGGGGGGGTCTTTCTGGCGAGCAGGGCTAGACTCACCCTCAAGGGATGACCGAAACCTTCTTGCTGCTGCGCATATCCGCCGCGAGGCATGCGCGTGGTGGTGTAGTTGGGTCGGCACTGATGGGGTCAGGCGAAAAAATGTAGAT